GCAAAAATGGCTATTTGGATGCCGCATATGGATTGTGTACTAATCTGAATAAAGATGAATCAATGCAAGAGAGAATTATCCATATACGTAAGATCATGTTAAAATTTCTCGATGACACACCTCTACCGCTTTTCTCTGGCCGCTGCCGCCGCCGGCGGTGGCGGCGCCCGTCCATCCTAAGGTGGAGGGCCGAGGAGACGTGTCCCTACTGTGGATCAGAGTGGCGAACCACGGCATCGGCACGCGCGCAGGTTGGACCGCAACGGAAAAGGTGTGGTGGATGGCAACGGCGGTGGCGCCGGGCTTTGGCGAATGCGGCTCTACGGCGCGCTGCTGGCCGCGACCACCACGCTAGAGTAGTGACGTTACGGAGGCGGTGGCGCGGGCCTGGGTTGCATCCGATCTGGGTCCAGCAGGCTCCCCACGCGCGCCTGATCTGGATCCCGTGAGTCCGCCGTGGTTGCTGCTGGGCAGGCGGTTGACCGGGGCCTTTGTTGTGCGCTCCTTGGCGCTAGAAGGATCTAGTGGCAGCCTGAATCATCTTCTTCGTTGCAGCAGGCTGGCGGCGTGGGGGCTGCTGCCTTGATCTGAATAATGGTGGTTTGGCCTTGCTGCTATTCTTGTGCTCAGTCATCGATCTGCTTGATGTTGGTCTTCTTGATCGGGACGCCGGCGAGTCCCGATCTTCCTCTCGAAGGTCTTCGATGATTGGCGCATGACGCCACTGGATATCTAGAGTGGAATCGATTCGGTCGTGCGCGCCCTTATCTTCGGCTAGCAAGGCTTCATGAGGGTGTGGCGCGAAGCTTCACTTGCTTGTCGATGCCATGTGACATGCCTAAATATAGATTTTTATGGTGTTAACAAAGGTGAAGAAAGTCATGGTGGCTCTAATCGGAGGCTTGTAATGGCGGCGAGGGGTATTGGTTGCGACGAAGACTAGCGGCACAGGTTTCTCCTGTTTGTCAGGTGTTGAAGACTTGCAACAGCGAACTTGGCAAGAGGGGGCGGCAGCGCAGGTGGTTTGCATTTTTGGTGGTGCTCCTTTGAGTACCGAGCCGCGATTTTCAAGGTGAAAGCCTAAGGTCTGGCCTTCATTGGTTGTACCTAGCAATGACTTTGCTAAAGACATTGTTTTAGGAACTCGATCTTTCTTCAGGGTGAAATCTCAAGATCTTTGATCGGGCGACGACAATACTTATGGGTTTTTTTCTTTTTGGAGGCTTCGTTTTTGAAGAACTTTTTTGTGGTCTGGGTGTTGTCTGATGGTTAGAGTGTTGTTGTTGGGAGGGTTTCAACACCTTGACGGGGGCTTTGTTTTTCTATTTATCTCGTTCTTTATTTTGTTCTTGGTTGTGTGCATCCTTGATGTCCTTCGATATCTAGTTGGTGTAGATGATAAGTGTAATTGGTATCATCGCGATATTCATATACTTCCCTTTTAAAAAAGAGACACACCTCTAGATTTGATTTCTGTGTTGCAAAGAGCCCCATAGGAAAAAACCCATAATATAATGTCAATCCTTTAACAATTGCACCTAATAAAATCCCTAGGATCGACTCCGTTTTTTTATTATTAGTTAAAGATAAAGATAAAGATAGGGTTTCTGCCTCCCGTCGCTGTCGCCGCAGGTCCGCCTCCTCTCCAATGGCCCTAAAGCCATGGGGGCATGGTGGATCTCGGCAAGGGCCGGCGGGAGGGCTCCGTTTTTAATCGTTTCTTCAATTTTGCTAGGGTTTGTGTCCTGCTCAGGAAGACGAGACGGCGGCGGCTCCCTGAAGATGGAATAAAGATCTTTCCGCCTAGCCCCCGTTCCGGCGGTGCCTCTAGCACCGTTGGTGGGCGTGTGGAGCACGACGACTTCCCGACTGTCTACTACAACAAGTTGTGCCCGACTCCGGCGATGGAGGGACGATGACGGCGGCGCGCCTTCGGCTCGCTTCAGTGATGATAGTCGTCGCTAGGTGGTCTATGAATCTGGATGTAATTTTTATTATTTCTGGTATTCATTGTACTGCCATGGTTGAAGATGAATAGACAAAAAAAATTCGCAAAAGAAAATTAAAAAATCCCTAGGATCAAAGAATGCCATAACCCCTGAAAACCGTTGGTGCGGCCCCATGTTTGGGATCGACGGAGAAGCGCCAATACCGGCCTTATCTTCGAGATGCCACCAGAGCCCACACCACAGCGGCCATGCCAAGTAGCAGCACACCAGGCAGAACAAACTCACTGCTGTCGCAGGGGCGCGGACACGCGCACCAACACTGCTCGTCTTCATCCTATCGCCGTCCATCCATCTCTCTCCGACTCCTCCCGCCACCTTCCTCGTCGATCCCCGGGCTTATCTTCCCCCCACGTCACTCAAGAACGCCGCGACACCTCGATCCTTTGGCCTTTAGCATCTCCGACCCACCAGCACACCTATAAATCGCGTCGCCCGGCGGCAAGGAAGGCACACTCGTCGACAGACGAACCGGAAGAGAGGGACAGAGGTGAGATCGAAGGATCCGGAGCTCGTAGGAGCTCTCTCTCCTGGATCGTCCGCGATCGTACTACATGGGGATGCAACAGTCGACGATGACTGCGTCCGGCGACGGCGCCAAGAGGGCCCTCCGCCGGCTGCCGCACGTGTACAGCAAGGTGCTCGAGCTGCCGCTCCCGGCGGACGCCGACGTCAGGGCGTTCGAGGGCACCACCGCGCTCCACTTCTTCGCGGCCTGCGGCCCCATGGGCGAGGTGAGGGCGCGCCTCGTCAGGATTTACCCCGGGGTCGTCAAGGTGGTGGTGGTGCACGTTGGGACCGGAGACGACGAGTATGGCGACGACATGGAGCTTGATAGGTGGAGGTACCGGCTGCCTGAAGACTGTTGCCCGGAGCTGGCTATGGCCGGGTACGTCGACGGGCAGCTTATCGTGACGGTGCCCAAGGGCCGCGGCGAGGGCGGCGACGGGGCTCGGAGGTGCTGCAGTGGAGCAGCGGGGGAGATTGGTGGGAATCTCGTGGCCGTGCAATAGAACCGGTGGGGTACTAGTGAGAGAGTGTGAGCTCCATAATTGCTCGTCTAGTCTGAGTCTATCTGGTACTATTCTGGTTACTCCTTGCCATTTGATTTTTCTTTTTCCATAAAGACGGGCGCTTCGTGTTCTGCTCCTTCCTGATCCGAGGACAGCTATTGCAAAGTTTGTACAAACTCTTTGGTTTCCATGGAATCAAATGTGAATGCAGATCAAATTGTGGGAAAATCTTTTACTGGAACTCTGTTTACTTGGTTGGTTCCTTGATTCAGCTTGGATTAGAGCAGAGCAATGCTTGCAGATTTCGTCAGTCTTTTTGACGAAAGAGGGTTTCCCCCGCTTTGTATTCCAAAGCAACCAACTGATACAACCAAGGATAGGTGCTGGAGCGGAAGCAGCACAGACACACCCAAAAGAAACGAAAGAAAAACAACAAGAGAAAAGAAAGCCGACAACGGCGGTTCGACGGAAACGGAGAAGCTTCACGACCACTGCGCCCACCGAAGATCTCCCACCAAGCTCCAAGGCTCCGAAGCACCGGTACCAATCAGCACCTCCAAGAAGGACCGCGACGAGGACGACGCTGCTGCCAAGGGTTTCCCCCGGTACACGACGAGGCGAGAGGAAGGGTCGCCCCCGACGCCCTCCAGGAAGGTCCGGCGGCACCCACTGGCGTCGCCGCGTCGGTGTCGGACAGGCCGACAGGGGTTTCCCCCGATCCCAACCTTCACCTCGGGTGCTCCGGAGCCTGCCGCCAAACCGACCACCATCTTGCGCCACCATGGTCAAGAAGCCTCCACGCCGTCTCACCACGGCACCACGAGGTGAGGCCTGCACGACGAGGAATAGGAGCCGGGACTAGGGGCCGCAGCACCGTCGGCACGCGGGAGGGCACAACCTCCGCCGTCAACGACGGTAGCCGACCGGGCACACAAGCAGGAGCCTACCAGGCCCATGTGCCCACAGGCCCGGCCGGGAACTCCATTCCCGGACAGCTCCCACCATCGCGCTGCAGCTGGCACGCCATCGGCATCGCCGCCCCCCGTCCGAGCCGCTCCTCCGCCTCACCACACAGATGACGACGAAGCCACGCCAGGGACCGGCCCGCTAGGACCCAGATGAGGCCGGGAAGGCCCAGATCTGGGCCGGGGACGCGCCGCCGGCCACCGCACGCCACCACGCCGCCCTGCTGCCAAGGGCAGCACCACCACCGCGCCTACCGCCGG